CATGTTCAGCACCTGGGACAGGGGGGGGACACACCTGGGATGTACCTGGGATACAGCTGGGGTACACCTGGGACACCTGGGATACACCTGAGATACAGCTGGGGTACACCTGGGACAGGTGGGACTGCCTGGGATACACCTGGGATACACCTGGGACACACCTGGAACACCTGGGACACGCCCACTGAGGGGGCCTCAGGCACCCATAAATTTGGGGGGTGGGACCCACCTTGGAAGGGAATTTGGGGCCCCTCTGGAGGGGATTTGGGGGCACCTGGGAGGGATTTTTGGGGGGATTTGGGGGGATTTAGGTGGAGTCTTGGGGAGATTCTGGGAGATTTCTTTGGGAATTTTTGGGAGGATTTCTGAGGGGTTTTGGGGGATTTTTGGGGGGATTTTGGGTGGGATTTCAGGAGGATTTCCGTGGGGTTTTGGGGGATTTTGGGTGGGATTTTGGGTGGGATTTCAGGAGGATTTCCATGGGGTTTTGGGGGATTTTTTGGGGGGATTTTTGGTGGGATTTCAGGAGGATTTCCGTGGGGTTTTGGGGGATTTTTTGGGAGGATTTTGGTCAGGATTTCAGGAGGATTTCTGTGGGGTTTTGGGGGATTTTGGGTGGGATTTACATGGGATTTCAGGGGAGATTCTGAGAGATTTTTTGGGGGATTTTGGGTGGGATTTGGGAGGGATTTCCGTGGGTTTTTGGGGGAGATTCTGGGAGATTTTTGGGGGGATTTTTTTTAGGATTTCAGGAGGATTTCCGTGGGGTTTTGGGGAATTTTTTGGGCGGATTTCAGGAGGATTTCCATGGGGTTTTGGGAGATTTTTTTGGGAGGATTTTGGGTGGGATTTCAGGAGGATTTCCCTGGGATTTTGGGGGATTTTTGGGGGGATTTTTGGTGGGATTTTTGGTCAGGATTTCAGGAGGATTTCCATGGGGATTTGGGGGATTTTTGGGGGGATCTTTTTAGGATTTCAGGAGGCTTTCCCTGGGGATTTTGGGGATTTTTTTGGGGGCATTTCGGGGGTCTCACCTGGAAGGTTTCCCGCTCCAGGCGCACGATCACCCCCACGGTTTGGGGGTCCAGCTGCACCAGCTCCCCCCACTCGTGCTGCCCCCCCACGTCCACCCCCGAGGCCGTCTCGGAGCAGAGCTGCAGGTCCCGGGGCAGCACCTTCAGCTGGGGCACAAAGGGAGGAAACGCCGGATTTCACCCCGAAAATGCCGGATTTCACCCCAAAACCGCCCGATTTCACCCCAAAACCGACTGACGTCACCCCAAAACCGACTGACTTCACCCCAAAACCGCCGGATTTCACCCCAAAACCGCCGGATTTCACCCCAAAACCGACTGACGTCACCCCAAAACCGCCAGATTTCACCCCAAAACCCCTGCCCCAGTTCTCACCGCTTTCTCCCACATTTTCCCATTTTTTCCTCGGTTTTCCCCACCTTTTCCTGTTTTTCCCACATTTTTCCCACCTTTTTCCCACGCCTTTCCCGGGTTTCCTTGGTTTTCCCATTCCTTCCCATTTTCCTGTGTATTTCCTGCGTTTTTCCCATTTTCCCCCAGGTTTTTCATGTTTTTCCCCATTTTTCACCTCGTGCATGGTGAGCTCCAAGAACAGGATCCAAAGTTCTCCTCCCCCTTCATTTCCCCTCATTTTACCCCATTTTATCCTTCTTTCATGATTTTTTTTTCCCATTTTTTCTCGTTTTTCACCATTTTTTCCCCATTTTCCCCCATTTTCCCCCGTTTTCGCCCCGTGCCCACCTTGTGCATGGTCAGGTTGCAGAACAGGATCACAAAGTTCTCCTTCCTTCTCCATTTCCTCTGATTTTATCCCATTTTACCCCACCTTTATGCCATTTTTTTCCCAATTTTCCCCATTTTTTCCCCGATTTTCACCATTTTTTCACTGTTTTTCCCCGTTTTCCCCCGTGCCCACCTCGTGCATGGTCAGGTCAGAGAACAGGATCACAAAGTTCTCCTCCCCCTCCATTTCCCTTAACTTTATCCTGTTTATCCCCAGCTTTATGCCATTTTTTTCCCTTTTTTCCCCATTTTTTCCCCGATTTTCCCCATTTTTTCCCCGATTTTCCCCATTTTTTCACCATTTTTTCTCTGTTTTCCCCCGTTTTCCCCCGTGCCCACCTCGTGCATGGTCAGGTCAGAGAACAGGATCACAAAGCTCTCCTTCCTTCTCCATTTCCCCTCATTTTATCCCATTTTACCCCCCATTTATGCCATTTTTTCCCCGATTTTCCCCATTTTTTCCCCGATTTTCACCATTTTTTCACTGTTTTTCCCCATTTTCCCCCGTTCCCACCTCGTGCATGGTCAGGTCAGAGAACAGGATCACGAAGTTCTCCTCCACCCTGACGATGAGCCCGGTGTCCCCCTCGAAGCGCCCGGCGATCACCTTCACGTGGTCGCCCATCCTGAAGTACTTCCTCAGCTCCTGCGCCGGGAACTCCAGCATGTCCTGGCAAAAACCCAAATTCCCGCGTTACCGCCCCAAAACCCACCCCAAAACGGGGCCTCCTGGCTTGCCCCCACCTTGAGGTCCTCGTGCTTGGGCATGATGGTGATCTTGTTGCCGTCCACGCTGAGGATTTTGCCCTGCAGGTTGATCAGCTCCCCCTCGCACACCTCCACGTTGTCCCCCGGCTGGAAGTTGTGCTCCCGCTCCTTCCCTGAGGGCATTTTTGGGGTGAATTCGGGCGATTTTGGGGCAGTTTGGATTGGGGGAGGGAGATTGCCCCCTACCTGTGCTCTCGGTCACCACCTCCAGGTCGATGCCCTCGGGTTGGTCCTCGAATTTCTCCAGCTCGGACAGGGTGGGCTTGACGCCCTCCGTGATCTGGGTTTGGGGCAAAACGCCGGGGTTTGGGGAAAATCCCGGGGTTTGGGGAAAATCCCAGGATTTGGGGCAAAAACGGGGCTGGGGCTGGAGCAGGGGGGTTGAGGGGTCAAAATTGTGGGGTTTGGGTTCAAACTTGGGGGTTTTGGGCTCAAATTTGTGGGCTTTGGGCTCCAAATTGTGAGGTTTGTGTTCAATTTTTTGCAGTTTGGGTTCAAACTTGGGGGTTTTGGGTTCAAAAATGGGAGGTTTGGGTTCAAATTTGTGGATTTTGGGTTCCAACAAGTGGATTTTGGGTTCAAACAGGTGGATTTTGGGCCAGAAGAGGCAGATTTTGGATGGAACAGGTGGATTTTTGCCAGACCAGGCACGTTTTGGGTCGGAACAGGCCCATTTTGGGTCAGATTTTGGCAGATTTTGGGTCGGGTTTTGGGCTCACCATGGCCGACGTGGCAAAGCTCTTGAACAGGCACATTTTGGGTCAGATTTTGGGTCAGATTTTGGCAGATTTTGGGTCAGATTTTGGCAGATTTTGGCAGATTTTGGGCTCACCACGGCCGACATGGCGAAGCTCTTGAACAGGCACGTTTTGGGTCAGATTTTGGCACATTTTGGGTCAGATTTTGGCACATTTTGGGTCAGATTTTGGCAGGTTTTGGGCTCACCACGGCCGACATGGCGAAGCTCTTGAACAGGAAGCCCTTGCGGCTGTAGCGGTTGCCCTCGAAGATCAGGAAGTCGCCGTCGGAGGCCACGTCCCCGCCCAGGGAGCTGCGGGGACACCGCGGTGACACCGGGGCTCCCGGGGGTCTTGGGGGGTCCTGGGGGGTCCCCGGGGTGCCTACGGGGGCTGCAGCCAGAATGGGAACATCCACTGAGATGGGATCCCAATGGGGATCCACTGAGTGGGGATCTGCTGAGCTGGGATCTGCTGAGCTGGGATCTGACAGGGAAGCTGAGCAGGGATCCACTGAGCGGGGATCTCATCGGGGAGCTGCTGGGGGATCTGCTGGATCCGAGCAGGGATCTGCTGGATCCTGACCCAGGATCTGCTCAGGGATCTGCTCAGGAATCTGCTCAGGGATCCGAGTCAGGATCTGCCCAGGGGATCCACAGACCCGGGATCTGCCCAGGGGATCCACTGCCCCAGGATCTGCTCTGGGATCTGCTCTGGGATCTGCTGAGCCAGGATCTGCTCAGGGATTGGAGTCAGGATCTGCCCAGGTGATCCACTGCCCCGGGATCTGCCCAGGTGATCCACTGCCCCGGGATCTGCCCAGGTGATCCACTGCCCTGGGATCTGCCCCGGGATCTGCCCAGGTGATCCACTGCCCCGGGATCTGGCTCTGGGATCTGCTGAGCCAGGATCTGCTCAGGGATTGGAGTCAGGATCTGCCCAGGTGATCCACTGCCCCGGGATCTGCCCAGGTGATCCACTGCCCTGGGATCCGCTCCCAGCCCCTCCCCCTCACCAGGCTCATCCGCGCTTTGATCCGGTCGAAGTCGATCCTGGGGATCATCTTCAGGGAGATCTGGTTCTGGCTGGGCTCCACGTAATCCACCTGGCCACAGGTGCCCCCCAGGTGAGCCCTGAGCCCCCCCAGGTGAGCCCTGAGCCCCCAGGTGAGCCCTGAGCCCCCCAGGTGAGCCCTGAGCCCCCAGGTGGGCCCTGAGCCCCCAGGTGAGCCCTGATCCCCAGGTGCATTCCCCACCACCCCAGGTGTGTCTCCCGTCCCCCAGGTGCCCCCCATCCCCCAGGTGCCCTCCAGCTGTGTCCCCCACCCCCCAGGTGTCCAGTATTTCATGCA